TTTCAACGAAAAATTCATCGGTCGAACGAGGGAAACGAGGAAACGAGCGAGGCCACGAGTCGCGAGGATATTCGACTCGCAGCTACGCTACCTTTAATTACGCGCGAAAGAAGCGTAGACCGGGAAGAAATTCACCTCCGTCGCAAATCTTATCTACTTAAGCGGCATTAATTTTCTTGCGAGCGCGATTACTAGGAGCTTCCCCACGCTGTACAAGGCGAAATGAAATTTTTATTTGCCCGTGGCTGCTGCGAATATTATCATAGAGAAACGATTCGCCTCGCGACGAATATCTTCTGGAAACAGTATCTGGGGTGTTTCTCGCCTCGTTGAGAGGGAAGAGATTGGAGAAATCGACGAGGCACGATTACATACCATCCCTGTTTCTCGTGCGCGAAAGCAAGAAACGACGTTTCCTCTCTGCTTTTCCTGCCCCCTTATCTCGCAGACGGAAAATACGCACGAGGCCCGAGACTTAACGAGGTCGTAGCAGTTCAACCAGACATTAAATCGGTGTCTGGCTAGCTAACAATTCCCCGTCGCATCGTGTGTTTTTCTTTCTCTTTTTTTTTTTTTTTTTTTTTTTCGAGACGACACTTCGTTAATTTCCCCCGGCGAGCATGCGAGACGGTTTCGAACAACCGCACGATCTTATTAGGCAGACGTAAATGGAATACTATTTGCTGTATTACTCCGCAAGCACTGTTTGTTCTCAACAAACATCGTGCGGTTAGTTTACGTCCGACTGAGATTTTACGATTCTTCTCAGTCAATTTAAATGGCAGACAAAGAAGATGAAAAGCCGAAAGGGGAACGTTCTCGATCGAAACGCAATACTTAACTCTTTGAACTCGATTTGTCTTCCAATGTTCTTGCACGTCCACCTTTTTATTTATTTATTTCAAGGTAAATTAATGTACAACGGTAAAATTCAATGTTTCTTATTTATTTACCAGTATCATTGTTATCGCGGCGTGTAATTTATTCTTTAGAATTTTTGCAAAGTGTGATAGAAAATTTATTTATTTATCGTCACGTGCAGCGTGACACACACGAGTTCAAAACCGCTCCTGGAAAAAACAAATGCGTCGCTGTCCATTGTAACAGTATAGCGGATGAGAGGGAAAATCGAGGATACTTTTTCCTTTCAAAGATTGTAAAAAATACTCGCCGTACGATTCTTTCTTCAATAATTTCATTAAACTCGAACTCAAACATTGGAGATAGATGAAACGTTGAGATTTCTTGAATTTTCGTCGTTGATATTAAAGTAAAATATCTTGTAAAATGTTAATTTTTCAAGACTCGCGAACAAAATTTTTCCAATGTTTTCACACGCGTTCGAGTTTTTACTACAACTTTCGAGGAAATGGTAAGATCGTCTTTGAAATAAGACCAAGCGGACCTTTCTTACGGAACTGTATCGATTTGAATCATCGATCATTCTTCATTATCATTGCATACAAACTGACTCGATGTACAGTTAGCACCAGCAGATGTAACTTAAAAAAATGTTATTGAAACGATATCTCTACGGAAGAGTTCGGTCATCGACATTACCATTCACGTTTCAGCGAAAATTCGCTGAATGCGTTCCCG